TTCTCTCTCTTCCTCTCTCTCCCTCTCTCCCTCTCTCCCTCTCTCCTCTTCTCCCTCTCTCCCTCTCTCCCCTCTCTCTCCTCCTCTCCTCTCTCCTCTCCTCTCTCTCTCTCTCTCTCTCTCTCTCTCTCTCTCTCTCTCTCTCTCTCTCTCTCTCTCTCTCTCTCTCTCTCTCTCTCTCTCTCTCTCTCACATTATTTTTTTGTGTGTGATATATTCTGTGTATTGTTTAATTGAGTTTCAATTTGAACTTCCTTTGGTTGAATGCAAGAGACCTCTCTAACCACCATGCTTCACAGGTCATTGCCATGAAAGCTCCTGTAGACACAGTAACCAGAAACACAACCAGTCTACCAGAGGAAAATGGGACCCCACAGCATCCCATGGCTTCATCTGAGGGTTCTGGCCCTCTGGAAGGAGAGCAAGGAGGGGACACCCCAGACAAACGCATTAAAAAGCCGCCACCTTACCACATTGCTGCTGTCATGTCAAGGCATGCAGCGGACTTCCAAGAGGCGAGTGTTGAGGTGTCGTCTTCACAGGGAACAAATGCACAGGGAGGGGCTGGTCTAACTGTCAAGGATCTGCCAGGCTCACAGCAGGTATGACAGGTCTTATTTTGATATTGTATTATTGGTCAGAGTGAAAGTATTCAAGTGCATTTTGACATTTTTTGTGTGTATATGGTGCAAAAGAAATAATTGTAGAATGAAATATGTTTTACATTTCAAGTGTTTTTGTAAGGCTGTTTAGCCTACTTTATTCTGATTTGTATGTAGAGAGGAAGAGGTAGTGAAAAGGTGAATTTGTTGTTTTACAGCCATTAACTGTGTCATCAACCACTGCCATTGGTGAGGATGAAAACAATGACACGAGTAGTTCCAGTGACAGTGGCTATGGTAATGGGAAATCATCAAGTCAGCAAAGTAAGTTTTCCGATAACTTACCTGTGCACTAGTCAGAACTATAGTGTTGGTTACAATGAATTGTGAATAACACACTTTGCACTCTTTATTTAATTTTCATTATTATTATTATTATTATTATTATTATTATTATTATTTTCCAGAATGTATTTACATTATTTGAGGATGATGTTAAATTTTGTGAAATTTAAAGTTTTTATATTGATTTTGATTTATTATTAATAATTTTTTTTTTTTTCACAAAAGCTGCCGAAGAACAGCAGTGCAGTGATTCCTGTTCAAACTCACCATCCTCACCACAGAATCTGACAGATTCCAGCATCACCATGCCCTCCACCCCCACCTCACCTTTGGGGAGTGCAGGATCAGCTGCACCATCCTCAAAATCCTTCATGGTTGCCACTTCCACGAGGCCCCCAAGTACCCATTTGTCGCCCATCACCACCACAGGGTCTCTTCCATCAGACCGCCACTCATATGCTGCTCCACAGCATACCTCCTCACCACTTGTGCAAGCCTCTATGGGACAACATATATATTCTTCAGGCCATTTGTCATATTCACAAAAAATGCAGACTAACACTACTATGACTAATGCTCGCCCAGCCTCCATTGCGGCAGGGCAGCAGCTGGAGAACCAGAATAGTGGCTCTGTGCAGCGGCCTGGGTCTTTGGCTCTCGGCACGCTAGCAGATTCAGCACTTCTGAACCGGCTGCCTAGAGACCATCGACCAGGGTCTTTGGCAGCACCCATCAATACTGTTGGAATCCCACCTGCTCCAACAAGGGCTGTGTCTCACATGGGATTGAATGTCTCTAGTCCAACAAGGGCACGTGATCCCACCATGTTCAGGAGTCAAGATTTGTCGCGAGCTGGACGCGGATTGTCTGTAGCAGAGGAGCGTTTCAGTGGAACTGCTGGTGCTCGTCAGGAGAGTAATGGTCTTGTCTCCATCATTGACCAGGTGATTAATCTTTGTGAAGTTGGGACTCGTGTGATTAGTGAAGAGGGTGGGGGATATAGGCACTTTCAAATTGTAGTGTATCTATTTGTTTTTTACATCAAAAAGATATTTCACAATGAGATTTTAAGAGTAATTAACAGAAGTATAGGTCCCAAAGAAGTCAGTAGAACTTAATAGAAATTACCAGTGTTGCTGCCTATTAGAATTTTTTACATCAATCTAATTTACTTCATTTTTTCAGGTAACAAGCAGTTTGCTGGAACATGGCGATAGTCCCCCTCCCAAGACTCCAGTGACTCCTAGTGCTCCTTCTTCGACTTTTCCTACCACTTCACCCACAATAGCAACACCTCCATCCAAACTGGCAGGCACCCAAGTCACCAGTGATAGGATACCCTTATCAGCATCTGAGTCTACAACATCAGAATCCTATGTGACTAGTGATACAAGTGGCAGGTCCTCCCTCTCTTATCAACGTGGTGTGGGTTCATCCCTGACCAGCAGTGGTGGACTCACCAACTTCACTCAAGACCAACCTCGTGGTGAGGTTTTGCATCCAACTCCACATCGACCACATGTTATCTCTCCTTCAGGCTCCAGACATGGATTAGACTCTCTGCAAGACCCCAGTGTGGGTACTCCAGATAAGGTAGCAATGGGAGTCTCTCAGCATATTGAGGCTGGGACTTCCCCTCCCAGAACAGCACCTAAGCCTCAGTCAAGAATCCCAGCACTCAATCCAGAGAGTTATCCAGCTGTTACACCTGGTAAAGCAAATCATAAGACAAGCTTTGACTCTCATGCTAGTCACAGTCCTGCTCAGATGACAGAATCTCGTATACCCACTTTAGGCAACATTGGCCGTTCTCCCAGTAACTTAACCAGTGAAAGATCAAATGAGAGTCATGTCTTACCTGAGTCAAGAATACCAACCCTTGGTGCCATGGGAAGAAGTCCAAGCAGTCTCAATCATGAAAGTAAGGCAGAAAGTAGAATTCCAACTCTTAATAACATGGGACATAGTTCCTCCAACTTACTACATGATAAGCAGACTTCAGGAGAATCACGAATACCCACTCTTGGAAGCACAGGGAGAAGTCAAAGCAACCTTGGTCATGAAGCACCAACTACGCCAGAGTCTCGTATTCCAACAATAAGTGCAGTGGGTAGAACATCTAGTAACTTGACACGTGAATCCATTGGGTTGAAAAAGCCAGCCAGCTCACATGAAGGAGTCACAAAACCTGCATCAAATCTTAACACACCACAGCAGCTTAGAACTGCTGGGATGAATGGATCAGGTATTCCAAGTTTAGCCTCACAGGGGAGAAGCAGTAGCAGCTTAGGATCAGGCATCCCAAGTCCAAGTCCAACTTCTACAGGGTTAAGAACTGGCATCCCCAAACATGATGCAACAGATGGGCTAACCAAGAAGTCATTGGTGTATGGAGGAACAAGCCAAGTGTCCTCCACATCTCGCCTCCAGTCCCCAAGTTATTCAAGTGGTATTAGGCCCCCTGCCTATTCATCGGCTAGTCCTCTGCCCAGTCCAGCCCAGCACCCATCAAGCAATTTTACCCAGTCCCCAGGTTATTCATCTGGCATCCGACCACCCTCTATCAATTCGGCAATTAACACCCCAGGTATCCCACTGCCTTCTTCAGGATCAACAAGCCACCTGACCAATCCAGGGTCAAGAGGGTCAATCACATCAACAGGATCTGGTACTCGTATTCCAATGGTTGCAGGTGTGTAGAGTTTTGGGGTTTCTTTAAAGTTGCCAAGTAGAGTTTAGTGTGAAAAGTTTATATTTATGGGTTTAAAATTTGATACTGGTCTTCTAATTTTTAATTGATTTTTGAAACTTTATAGACTTACATAACTTCATTACTTGTTTGTATGTTTATTTATATTATTATTATTATGATATTTAGGGAGAGTATAGCTTCTTTTAATATATTTTTTGTAACAGGAAATTCTGCATCAAGACTCCCTGCACCTAATGCCAACAAGCACCGTGTGTCTCCATCAGCACAAAATGCAGATAACAAAACAAACAATTCAGCGTGGATGTTTGGCCAGCACAAAAATGCCCGTGTGGTATGTCAGAATGTACGTACGCTGGACTAACACAATAACAGTGAGGATACTGCGAAGCTTTCTTTTTCTTAGATAGGAGCAGTATTCCTCTTTGTTTTATATATATATATATATATAGTGTTTGATAAGAAAGATGCATATCTAACCAATGACTTGTATTCCAGTTTGCTAGTGCATATGATACTGACAAAATTGCTTCTTAAATGCCAGCAGTTTGAGCTAACTATCTTTAAGGCTAACATGCCTGACATGCTGACTTGGTGCTAAAAGCTATTAATAGCATTTATAAGTTCAAGCTTCTAGCTCATCAACTTGTCATAGAGCTGCCGCTGGCCAATTTTATAACCAAGATATATTTTTTTTCCTTAGATTTTTGTTCACTTAAAAGAGCTGCTGTAGTAGGCAGTTGAAAAGTGTTATAAGATACAGATTCAGGAAGAATGAGTTTTAACAATTGAATCAAATCCAGTGAGTAGAAATTCTACTAATACTGAAGTAGTTGGTGTTTTCTGCAATGGATAAACCACATTGTTATTGATAGGATTGAGATGTTCAGGGAATTGTTTTGCCATTATGTTACATCTCTTTCAGTTAATGGATGTTATGTTGTACTAAACTAAAGGGTTATCAGAAATAGGATGATAATTACAAACTATTCTGCAAGCATGATAAAGAGTTGGAGCAGAGGGGAAAGAATGAGAGAAAAAGAAAGGAGAAAATGAGATAACAGTGGACAAAAACATGAATAGAGAGAAAAATGTATTGGAGTGTAATAAATGATAAAACAGGAATAAAGAGGGAATATATTGGAATAAGAAAAGTGGGAAATTGCAGTTGATTATAAAGAAAGAGCATTAGGGAGAAGCAATTTAAATGAAGGGAAATAAGGAGAGATGGTAGAGGAAAGTGGAGGTCAATTTTTTTAGCATATAGTTGTGTGTTTGTGTGTGTAAACTCGTATGCATTTGTAGATGTTTGTGATGTGGATGAACAGTGAAATATCTCAGCTATTAGTTTTTGAGGATTTCTTAAGCAGCTGG